GGTAGGCTTGAGGGGTACAATGTGGTTTCAACAAAATCAGCGGGAGGGAGGGTTGGTATGCTGTAAAAGGTCCCACAAAATGTTCTGGTGAAAGTGAAAGAGAAGACAGTGACAGGAAAAAGGGGGAAAAAAAAACCACAAAGTAAAACAGAAAACATTGGGAGCAGTAGGAAGAGGAAGAACGTATTCCTTTCTTTTAATTAATTAATTATCACTGTTCACTCTTTCCTTCTCCCTTGCATTTGAGTCACACACTGCTGTCCTAGCGTTACGTTTATCTGGTGGATATGTCTAGTGGTCCCACCAAAGGTAAGGACCCTATTCAGACCCATTGCAACACAGAGGCCAAAGAAGGGACTGCAGTACTGCCAGACACATCAGAACTCTGAAGAACTCTTAGATTGGTTTGAAAGGTGCTGGGGAAGACTTAACATGACTTGGGGTGGCGTTTCTGGGAGGCAGGCCAACAAAGCACAGAAATGAAGGAGGAGGAGTTGGGGAGATTTGGGTTTGTTTGCAAAGCACTTCATGTTTTTACACTTTGGAAGGAACTTTCTGCCAAATGAGCTTGAATACATCCAGATTAAATCAGATAAAATGCTGACAAAACAAAAACAACAAAAACAAAAAAAAACCAACAACATGCCATGTGTCTGGCTCTGGTTTGACAACACTGACTCCGCCAGTCTCTCTGACTTGTTTCCTCACTTATCAGGGTCATGCACGATGGGGGCTTGTGGTTCAGAGCATTCAGATGCCCAGGCCAGATTCAAATTTTGTAACTCTGGAACACACCATTAATTCAAATCACTCTTGGACTGCAAAAGCCTCTCTGCCTTGGCCTGCCCTTATCACAAATTGAGGTCCTCTTTAGCCGAGTGCAAAAATAAAGTCTAACTCTTCTAAGGTGCCTACTTTGCTATTGAAACCAGTGGGAAATTGACTCCACAGAGTGAAATCTCAATAAGCAGTAAGAGTTTTAAGGTTTGGATCCCAGTTTGTGTTTGAGGGGACTTCCCCCGGTGGTCCTTCCCTGCTGTGACACCGCTGCAGATCCAGCTGCAGCAGGAAGAAGCTGCTGAACCTTCTATTAGGAGCTTTTGGAGCAAAATTCTTTCAACCATCTTTTACTATAATAATGTTCCAAGCTGCAGTCATATTACCTCATGCTGTGACCTTGTTCATGCTCCTAATGTGAAGCCAGGTCAGATTTTGGATGGAGATCTCCAAGGCAGAGCCAGAATGCTGCAGGAGGCACCATTTGGGGGTCAGCAGGAGGTGTGATTTCTCGAGTCAGTCCTGAACTGATCCCACAGCATGGTAGAGTATTGCTTTGCTGGCAAAAAGACCTGCAACTGCAGTCCCAGCCATCTAAGGATATTAAAAAGCTCTTTCTCCAGGAACAGTCATTACCTCTGATACCCTGCTCAAGTTTAAATTTGGGTAATTACTTTCTTCTAACCTAAAAAAAAGATCCTTGGGTGTTGTTTTTTGTTTTCTTTCTTTTTTTTTTTTTTTTTTTTTCTCCACAGATGCTACATTTTTTTTTTATGCTTCCTATAGTAAACAGCTTTGTAGGAATGTTGCACACTGTTAAACAGAGGCTCTTTTGCACCCTAAGAGCTAGATGCAATTCAGAGGTGGGTCGTTATCAGTAGAAAAACTCTAGGGTCCAGCTGCTACAGGCAGGACGTAATCATTAACAGTAGGGCTGTAGCAACATTGATGCTTTGATGAATTGATGGAGAAGCATGGCATTTGCCAGGTATTTGAATAATTATAATGAATAATAAATCTCATCTGTACACCTCTTCTGAAGAAAACAACAGGTTGATTTAGAAGACCAACTTATATCCATCAGGTTATTGTGACAACCAGCCAGATTTCTTGGTGCAACTCACTTTACGTCTAGGAACAATGGGTTCTCCTGTGCTTGCTGTGGTGGAGTATTGTAAACAAGTCCTGCTTTCTCTCTGCAGTCCCCCATTTAATTAGTGGTCCTCTGTGGCCTGTGGTGGCCTTGTGCGAGGTCAGAGCTCACCCCTTGCCTTCCTGTTCCTGGAATATCTGAAGATTTGTCTCATTGTGTTAATACCTCTGTCTATTTGCTCTTCAGATTCCATCTTAGCCTCTTAATCTCAATTGTACATTTTTCCTGTCAGAGGTTAAATTTCTTTCTATTAGTTTTGGTTTTGCTAGACTTGAGAGTTTAATGGACACAATTAGCATGTCTGAATAAATCGTTACGGAAGGAGTTTTAAGAAATGAGAAATTTGCTCCATTTTGTTTCTGCAATGGGGGAAGAAAAAAGCCATCTGCAGTGTATTCACAGTGGATATAATATGTTGAGTGAGATACAACCAGCTTAGTTCTCATTAGTCTCTAAGATAGCTCTGAATTTGAGCTGTGCAGCCAGAAGCCTGCTACAGGGACCCCTTTTCTGAGCGATCCTGGGAATTCAGACTGATCAGAGAGGTTCACCCAAGGTACTTCCTTTTCTAGGTGTTAATCTAATTTAATGTGGATGGGATCGAGCTTTTTCCTCTTCTGATAAATCTATTTTTTGCTGGAAACTCCCTTCCAAGGAGCAGAAACATGGAAGTATTTGCCAGGTATTTAAAATCTCTCCATCTCCTCCCTCTTCTGTGCTCCATTGCCCTGCCTCCCAGGAACACCATCGCAGGATGTGTAAGTCTTCCCTAGTGCCTCTCAAATCAATGTTACAATCCTGCTGTGTTTGGCAGTACTGCAGTCCTTTCCTTGGCGTTAGTATTGCAAAAGATTTGAAGACCTCAATGATGCATATGTCAGATGCTCCTCTTTCAGGAGAAGAATGTATATATGATGATGTGATGAAAGCAGCCATATACGTGTACAAGAGATTACATTGATATCTGAAGACCTAGAGCATGTCAACCTTGAAGGTTTGCAGAAAAGCCTTTATAATTTGTCTTTAGTGGCTTGGCTACCATGAAATCCCAGCATTTGCAACATTTGGTATTGGCATTTAATTTCCGATTGACTCAGATCTCAGAAAGTGAGAGTTCTAAGTCAGGTCAAAAACCCACAACCTTTTTTCTGTAGTGTTGAAACATTTCTCTGTTCTAAAAAAAAAAAAAAAAAAAAAAGACAGAAGAAATGTTTCAGCCTTTCCAAAATAGATTTTTTAAAGCTTTTTGTTCTGAGAAGTGTTTTGATTGTTTTGATCTAGTTGAACACAAACACATTTTGAGATGTATTTTCCTTTGAATGTAACATCTGATGTTCACTCAACTCCTTCTACCGGGTTAGGTTAGCAGATTGAGGCTGAAGTGAAGGAACCCTGTTGCTTCTGTCAGCTTGTTTTGTAGAGAAAAAAAACACAAAATTCCTATACATCAGCACAAAAGAAGGAGGAAAAAAAAGCGGTGATAAGAAAAAATTGGGAGAAAAAAAAATGAGACCCACCTATGAGGGTATCTGCAAAAGCCAATAGCACTGAAGGAGAGAAAATGAGAACTTCTTTCCCCAGAGCTACTTGTCGCTCTGACCTTCGCAACACAAATCATTCCTTTCATTATAAATGAAATATTAACTGTCGTGCAGCAGTTTACAGCATCCTCCTGGCTTCTTGCAGGAGGGTCACAAAGCAGTAGAGGAAAACAGGGAAGAAACACAGTGCTGTCCTTACAGAGCTTGTTTCAAAAGGAGAGAAAGTGCAATCATTGCAAACTGGAATGACAGGGCGCAGCTGTCTACCTGGTGGAAAGCATGGTTAGGAAAGAGGGAGATGGGAAGGATCCTAAAGGGGAGGCAGAGAAAGGAGGAATGATCATGGAAATGCGATGTCTCATCTGCAGGGTGACCATGGAGGTGACCATGGATGTGCCCACTTGGTGATGGCTCAGAGGTGGGAGGCCACAAGAAGTTGTGTGCATGGTTGTCCAGTGTTTGGCTGGGAAGCATCGTGTGGGGCTCCATATTTCCATCTATGTTTTTTTTTGCTGGTGATACCTGCTGCTGCTACTTCAGTTATTGAACTTCTCTGCTGCAGCAGGCCCTGCTCTCTTTTTTGGGGCAGGAGCAGGGGCTACCATAACCATTCACACTGTAGAGTTAATTTCTTCCTCCTGTTGTTAGCCCTTTGTAGCCAAGGCATTTTTACTGCAGGTTCAGTGGGCCCAAGATGTTCAAGGCATCTCTAGGAATGGATACGGCAACATGTCCAGGTCCCAGAAACACCTGGAGATCTCCTTAATTGCCCCGCAACTTGTGGCTTTCAGCTAAGGCACCATCTCAGGTGGTTTAGGGTGGTTCTCCCCTGGTGTGTGCTGGTGATGGATGTCCCCCTTGAGTCTCTACCCATCCCCGCTGGAGGATGGTGGAGGGTCAATGGATACGTGGCAGCTGCCTCCGGCCACCAGCTGGATGGGCCGCACTCAGGCTGCGTAATTAGATGCCTTGAACTTCGGGAGAAGTTAATTAGGAATGAAACTTCTGACCGAATGATGCAGATTGCGAAGACGGGCTTTGTCAGCAGCTGAAATTAATTGCAGGCTCAAGCACGGGGAAAAGCAGGGCGGGGGAAGGCTGCGGGGAGGGGGAGGCCTCACCACCGAAAGGAAGATGATGAACCTGGCTGCAGGCTGTTGCCGTGGTGACGGGAGGCCGTGATGGTGTTTGACAGCGGTGACACATGGAAGGCCACAGGTACCTCTAATTACCCCCTCCACCAACCCAAGCGGGCAGCAACCCCTCCTGACTCGGGGTAGGAGATGCTCTGCTTCTCTCCTCGTGCTTTCTTCCTCTCCACTGCAGGTGGGATCTGCCTTTTCGGGGGCCCCTGCCTGCTCTGAAAGGAAAACCATGTGGCGGCAGGAGGAAAGCTTTTCCTAATGTCGCTTTAATCGCCCAGGAGCCGCCAGCGATTCAGCAGCGTCCTCAGGAAGCCTGGACGAGGCTGGCAAACTTTCAGAGAGCTGTTATCTGAAAGACGGGGGAGGAGAAACTGAGTGCAGCCAGCCTCGCGTTTTTGAGAAAGAAGATTCAGGGTCTCCTGCACCTGGCCCAAATTGCAGGGTTTTGGGGAGTGCTTGCCACGGCTGGCTGGACCTTGAGTTTCAGGTTACTGAAACCCTGAGGGCTGCTGCAGGGGGGAGTGAGAGGAAAAAAGTTAGCACAGGAGCATCCCAGCCACCTGCATGATGCCACTGCCGAAGCACACACACAAAAGCATAGATATTTGCAAAATAAACCCCTGACTTCAAGCCCTGAGCTCCCTGAGGCTGGTGGTGGTTGGAGAGTACTCCCTGCTGTCAGGTCTCTTGTGTCATGTTTTCTGGTCATTTCCTTAAAAAAAAACAAAAAAAAAACCACCCAACTTCTAGCTTTTAAAGCTATTTCTGCTCTTTGTTTTCTATGTATTTATTTCAGCCAGGAGTACTCTGAGTGCTGATGGGGATAACACATGCCTGGGGGATTAAGGATGACAGCTGGATTGTGCTCAGTGGTGCCCAGTGACAGGACAAAAGGCAATGGGCATAGACTGAAGCATGGGAAATCCCATGTAAGCAAACACTGCATAAGTAGTCAAAGGCTGAGATATTGAAACCCGATATTGGACAAGACCCCGAGCAATCTGCTGTAATTGACCCTACTTTAACTGGGGGTTTTGGACAAGATCACCATAGGAAGCCCCTTCCAGCATTGGCCCTTCTATGGTTCTGTGTTTCTGTGAGAGTTGGCACAAAACAGTTTTTGGAAAGTCCAGAAGAGAACTGTAGTCTTACCTGAAAGGCCTGGGAGAGGTAATGGAAACCTATCCAGGTGCTTTCCTGGGCTGTGAATTGGGTCACTATAGAAATACATAGGAGAGAGAAAAGTGGGAAATTGAATTTTTTTTTGTATAGAGCTCAGGGGATAAGCATTTTACTCATGCCCTTTTGACGTATTTCTCTCCAAAAAGGCCTCAGTTTTTGAAGCCCGTTGTGAGGGTAGGCTCTATGTACTTATTTCATAGACTGCTTGGGATTAACTTTGTAAGGGAGAGTGATAACATGTTCTTGAAATCACCTCATAGCATGATTGGCACAGTAGAGCTGGTTCCCTGTTCTTGTCTGATTTTGCAGCTGAAGGTAGCTCACTGAAAACCAGGTGGGGGAGAAGAGAAAGAATTAATAATCTTCTAGATCAGATTATGTGGGTTAGTCATGAATCACTGTCAGAGAACAAGCAAGGAAAAGTTGCTCAGAACAAACCACAGATTTTGAGTGTCTTTCAGAAGTGACCAGAGATACAAGCCACAGTTTTGGATTTGGTTCTGTGAGGAGTGAAAAAGGGTGCACTTAGTGAGTTGTATTTTTAATAGACAATTTCTCAGCTCTGTTAGTTTAAATTAAGAAAAAAAAAGAGACAAAACTTTGAAAATGGAAACTGAGCAGGGATGCTTGTGAGGCGTGTTAAATTACACAAGTGATGTTTCTGCCAGAGGTTGGAGGTCCATTCTCATTAGATCTACATCGCTGCTTTGCAATGCGAATGCTGGAAAGAAATCACAGAAATGTGTGCCCAATTTTAGAGTTAAAACACTGTAAATGAGTCCTTGGATAAGTGAGAATTGGGTCCTAAGCCTCCTTCATTTGAAAGAGTGGGATGGTGAAAACGAGGCAGATAGAGGCTGTGAAGGGCACAGAAAAGGTTGCTCAACTACACCATTTTTACCCTCTGTTGTAACATACAAGTGAAGTGGCACTTGATGAAATTAAAAGGCAACAAATTAAGTATAATAGGAGGAAACACTTTTTAATGTAAAGTATAATTAGCCAATGTAGCTTATGGCTGCCAACTATTATTGAAGCAGATATTTCAGAAAGATCCTCAACAAAGGATTCAAATGAATAAGCAAAGCATCTGCAGGGACACCACTATAGCTGAGAAAACAATTATAAGGCCTATCAATCCTCATGCTTTAGGGCACAAACAGATCACCAGCTGGGGTCAGAAATGCAATTTCCCCCCATGGTTACCGAATAACTTAATTAGGCACATGGTGAAGTTTTATCCTGCATGGGTCACTGCTGGAAGCAGAATAACAGATTAGATGGACCATTGACCTGTTCCAATATGGCAACTCTTTATCTTCACTCCTCACTTCTCAGAAGTGAAGAGGGAGACTTCTAGCCTTATGCTGTACCCCCTTCCCAGAAGGGCTGTAATTGCTGGGCTCATGCAGAGACCCAGATGTCCGTTTCATTGTATTCGATATAGCCCTTCATCAGACCCCAGAGATTTCTGCTGCCTCTGAGTTTTGTAGCACCACAGAAAGTCTCTTCCCACTGTATTTGTAAGATCTGTAAGCCAACAAGAGAGGAGTCAGTGTGTGTTTAACTATGGCAACAATTTGACTTGTCTAAGTACCTTAGGGCTCTGAGCTGCCTGTATGTTCACGTTTTCAGAAGAGTTTTGGCTTAACCAAACAGTGGAGAAGTGAGGAACTGAGGGAGAAAAACATAAGAATGTAATATATCAGCCTACCAGCAGTTATTTCCCTTCATCTTCCTATTTTGACATCCCAAGTCTAGATCAAACTTACCTTGGCTGTGATACTTTTGCAGAAGTTTTCCTTGACTCTTTTCCACCTGGTTTGAATGTGTCAGCATGATGGTGATTTTGCTAAACTGCGTTACCCTGGGGATGTACCAGCCATGTGAGGATATGGACTGCCTGTCTGACAGGTGTAAAATCTTGCAGGTAAGCAGACTTCCTTCCTGTTGTGATGGCACATCAGTACAAGTCATAACGTTTCACACATGTTTTCCGTCAGTGTGCTGTCAACACCTTACCAACAAGGTTGGTGAGAACATCCTGGCCAGCAAATTAGTAAAATGGAAAGAGCTTGCATTGAGGAGGAGGTAAATGGGATTAGAGAAGGATAATTAATGAAGACTATATGTGACTAGGCAATACAGAATAGTTGCTAACCTTTCTGATCCAGTGCATGAGGCAGGTCTTCCCGACACAGGCAGCTACAAGATACATAGCACACGGAGAAATAACTGTGGTTATGGCACCCAGACAGGAGGAAATAACAACCCCCAACGCCTTTGCTACTCTGCTGAGAAGCAAGAGTACTACCGAGTCCAGAGGTAACATGGCACTCAAGGTGCCAACAAGGAGAAGAAAGAACAGGCGCACTAAGAGGGGCCATTGGTACCTCCTAGATGGCCAGGAATGTCTGTGTGATCCTGGTTGGTCTTGGACCTGCTTGTTCTGAGCCACCACCTTCTTTCAAGTCCATGTAAAGAGGCCCTGAGTCTACATAAATTATTTCATCCATAGAGAAAAAACAGAGCCCCATCTTGCTTGCTTTAGAAGCAGATAGCTGTGGTACTAGTGCTGGGTGGAAAAAGCTTGTCCAGCCCTGCCCTGCCGCTATCTCATTTTCAGAAGCACTGAAATTCACATTTATTTCACTTTCTGTATTTTAAAGCTGAGAATGCTTGTTAAACTTGCTCTTGCTTTTCTGATTGGCAGGTATTTGATGATTTCATCTTCATCTTCTTTGCAATGGAAATGATTTTAAAGATGGTGGCCCTGGGGATCTTTGGCAAGAAGTGTTACCTTGGGGATACCTGGAACCGCCTGGACTTCTTTATTGTTATGGCTGGGTAGGTTGACAGCTTCTGTGCTTATTTGTTCTGTGTTTGTTGGAGTCTTTTATGGAACTGAAAAAACTCCCCATCTGAAGAGCATATGAAGGTTGTCGGCAACTATGAATGCTTTTCCCTAGGCGTATTGAGCAGGGTTAAGCCCCTCATATCCTGATGGAAGGTAAAAGTAAATCCTTGCAAAACCAATGATGCTACTCTTGATTTGCCATGGTATAACTGATGGGAAAGTTTCCACGCTGGTGCTACTCCAGGAAATTTGCAAAATTGAATCTGGTATGCTGGGGTTAGTCTATGGAATAAACAGTAGACAAGGTAGCCTAGCTCTCCAGCTGATGTGCAGCTGTCTATCTCACAACTTCAGCAGAGGGTGTTAAGTTGTACCAGCTGAAGAGCAAGCCCAGAAATGTTTTTGTTAATGTCTGAGTGGAGGAGGTACAACTTTTACCAAAACCAAGATGCCTTCTCTGTTTCCAGCAACAGCTGGAACAGCTCCTTTCAAAGGTAGGAATGTAGTGTTTTTTTTTTTTTTTTTTTTTTTTTTTTTTTTTTTGTTGTTGTTGTTGTTTTTTGTTTTTGTTTGTTTTTTTTTTTTTTTTTTTTTTTTTTAACTCTGGGCATTTTGTCTTTGTTTTGCATTGGCCTAACCCATGATACTACTGGGGCGAGTTGACATTTGAGTGTTTTTTATAAGAAAGTTACTATGGAGAAGCTCTGATTTCTCCTCTGCATGTATGAAGTGAAAAGCCTACCAGGATGTGCCTGTGGAATCACAGCAAAATGTCCTCCTCTGACACCAGTGGTCATGTGCTTTTTGGGATTTGATCATTTTCAATCATTTTGCTTCGTGCTATAATAAAAGATATAAAAAAAAATCAGAAAATTTATGTAATATTGCTGTTAGTACAGAAAAGGAATTGAAATCTTTTCAGAGAGAAACCCCCCACTTTCCTCTCCCTCCCAGCAAGGTATTACCAGCATTCACTGTCACCTGGAAGTGCGTGTATTACTGACAGAGCCAGCAGTGAGTTCAAGCTCTCTTTGCAGAGCTTTTCCCTCAGGTGCAGAACAGCGCTGTCTTTACATTTGCTTTTGACACAGTTGTTCTACAGAAAGACTTGAAAGCTGTTCCCTCTGGAGTGGTGTATAATTGTTTGCTTCTGGGGGGAGCTGAGATTTTCAAACTCAGTTCAGTTGTAAAAGTTTGAAGGTTGATCCTCAGCCGGCTTGTACATGAAAGGCGGACAGACAGATGAAAGCTGTAGCTTTTTGTGAATTAAAGCAACGTGCATGAGATGGGAAGACCTTTCTTGTGCCTGAGTCTGCTGTGATTAGCATGTGATTTAAAATGGGCTCACATTATGAGGACTGTGAGTTCATCAGGAAAGGGAAAGTTAAAGCATCTGACACGTGCTGGTAAGAAAATCCAGACCATTGCATGTTCTAGCCTGAGCTTCTGGTGGCAAAAGGTGCTGGTGGCAAAAGGTGCTGGTGACCGGGTGCATGGAAAATGAAATATTGAGGAGGAAAGGGAAGAATAAGTGTGTTAGAAAAGGGGACCTCAGAGCCCATGGTGCTCCTCCTTGGGGTGATGTTCTACGTATACAGGATGGGAGGAAGGCTCTGCTCCAGGTGGGAACGCGATAGCCAGCACATTGCTGGGGTGTAAAAAGTTTGGGAATGGGGGTCTTGCTCTGCCTAGTACCCATGGCGTGTGAGCAGTGCTATCTGGAGAGATGAAGAAATCAGTAGGGCAATGCTAAATGGAAGAGAGTGAGTTCAAATGTTTGTTCCATGCAGGAAACAAATGAAAATGAGTGTTGTACAAACTGCACCACAGGAGGTTGCATCTAAACATCAGGAAGCATTCTTTGATGTGCAGGTGATGGAGCACTGGCACAGGCTGCCCAGTGAGGCTGTGGACTCTCCCTGCTTGGAGATCTCCAAAAGCTGCCTGGATGTGGTCCTAGGCATGCAGCTCTGGGTGGCCCTGTTGGAGCAGGGCTTTGAGCAGGAGGCTACCATGTCCCTTCCCACCTCAACGTTGCTTGGTTCTCTGAAATCCCTGCTACCTATATCAGAAGCAAGTAAACCCCATTTATACCTTTCATCTGCCATCATTGATGGAGAAATCTGAGAATAGAGAGCCTTTTGCGCATCTGATAGTGGTACTAGAAATGAAACTCACATCTGAACTCTTTTCAATGCCGAAGAGACTTAGAATCAACTCCTTAGATATAAAATAATCAGTGTGGAGGACTTTTTCATTTCAGGCCCAAAACTGAAAGAAATTTGTTTCCTGATTTCTATACAATTGTCCTCATGAGGTGTCAGGCTGAAATGATAGTAATCTCATTAGAATATCTGATCTCAAAAGACTTCTGCTAAAGAAAGATTTTCCCATTTAGTTATATAGAACTAATGACTATATAATGTATTTTGAGTTATAAAAGCTTATGGTTATTAATTCATTATTCTTTGAAATTCATTAAAACGGTCTGCACTGTTTAAATCAAATCCAAGTAGAGGCTCAAACATGCCCTTACATACAGACTGTAGGTTTTTATTTAACCTCAGATTTAAGCCCCAGACTTTATCCTGACTGGTCCCACACCTGGATCATGGCTTCACCTTGCTCTGGGTCCAAATGCTGCCTTAGCCTTCTGACTAAGGGAAGACAGCCTGCATCAGGTCTTGCATATTTTCTCCATGCCAGTGTGTTAAATCCTGAAAATAAGCTAATCAGTTTAATCTAAAGGCCTTATCTTTTTCATTGTCCTGGGCTCTCAAGGACTGCAAGGGAGGTCATGAATTTGACCCTTAAGAAAACATCCATAATGTTGAAAACTAATGCACTGCCTAGAAGACATTCGAGTATCTCTCAATTTCAAGAATAAGGCCCGTATTTCCCAGCCTTTTTTCTTCCTTTCTCCCTTTGAAAATACATACATAAGTGGTGCTCCAAGCAAGGCATCAAAGGTTCAGAGAGTGAACTGCAGCCTGGAAAAGCCAAGTGCAGGCGAGGGACCGTTCTGTCGGGTGCTCCTGGGTGGCTGAGATACCTCCATCTGCCTAGCTGCATGACAGCATGTTTTATCAAAGAGCATAATGATTATTTGCTGCTATTGCCCCAGACGGTGCTTTGGTTACATAAGCCATGTATTCAGGCGTTCGTTTGTAGTTTCCTCCTCGCTTCCTTGGAAAGCCAGAAGCTATAGTTTTAGTTAGCTGAATTCCCTTGTGTGCCCCTGCCCTGCTTGCCCCTGCTCCCCACGCAACCCAGCAGCTCAAGGAGGAAGACTCCATTGTCACTAAAAATGCTCAGTTTCCATGGCGATAGGAGCTGACATCACCAGAACTTTCTCCCCTCTCGCACACTCCCTCCCCCAACCACCTTCAACACGTTTTTTTTCCAGAAAGGATTAAAAAAAAACAAACCAAAACAACAAACAAACAACAAAAAACACAAAACAACAGTCCTAAGTCAATGTTCTCCTTCATTGTTACCTTCAATGGAGAGAGGGAATTTGGGTTGAATGGCCATGCCCTTGTGCACCCAAGCAACGGGCTGCAATTTTGGCTTTCCAATACTCTGGCTCCCAACTGCTTGCTGGTGACGGGAGGTTGCAGGTTCCCAGACGCTTCACGCAGGCTGTTTGTCACCAGCTGTCCCAGTGGGAGTCCCTCTTCCCATGTGTTTGTGTTCATGTCTTGTCTGTCGTCATTTGTTTCCCACAGCAATGGGTGCTTTTGGAGAGCTTGATCTGCAGCAACTCAAAGGGCAGCTTCCTAAAGTTGAGAGCCTACTATTTTTTGAAAACTGAGATAATCAGTCACGCTGAAAACTTAGGCCAGACTCTCTACATGAATTTAGGAGAAGTCACTTATTTCTGGGATAATGCTCATCACCTTTTTAAGTTAGGCGTTTAAGTTAGACATTTCTCTAGCAACTTGCACTCTACTTGTATGGGTGGTAGCTAGTTTAAGGGGATAGGGCTCTATTGCGTGACCAGGGGGATGCTTGTGATTACAGAACTGTGCACAGAATACATCCAAAATCTTTCCTTAACTAGTTCAGTAGCTGGGGAGAGGCTGGTATATCTGTCACAGAGTATCCCTTCTTTGCCTCTCTCCATCACCACACCACAACGTAGATCTCAGAAACTGATCAAATCCCATCCTAACCTTGACTTTGATGAGAATGGTGTGACTTGTGTATTTTGTCATTTTAAGACACAATTGCAGGTTTGTTTAACAGCTTTTTTAAAAAAGCTGTGGTGGACAGCAGAGCAAGACTTCAGTACCTTAAACATTGCTAATATGGTCTCTTTATTCAGAACCCAAATTTCCCTATTCCTACAGCTAAGGATTGCAGTAACCTACGTAGTCGCAACACCTCTCTGTTATTTTATTCAGCTACTTTCTCCAGTGGCTCCAAGTTGTTATTTATTTATATAATTTATTTATTTTTTTCCACCTCACAATCATCTCTTCTGAAGAAAGAAAATCCCTTCCTATTAGTAGGGACAGCAAACTTTGTTCCCAGATATGTGGTGTTGCATTTGTTCATGTTGGCATATATATTATTTGCATTTCCAAAGCAGTTCATACTGTTCTGTGTTGCTGGCTTATCCTCTTTGTTTCTTTTCTGTTCTCTTAAAAATATGCTTCAACTGCAAAATCCACCATTTTTTTTTTTTTTTTCTTAAATTTTCTGCCAGGTTGTAATAAATAAATAAAGAACAGAGTGGCAAGAATTGTACATTACAGGAATAATGTACATCTGCTCACAAATAAGTCCCCATTTACTGTTGCATGTGAGGCCTATTACTTAGCCAGTTTTTCTCTAGCTAATGTATGTCATGATGATTTCATATCATTCCAGTCATATCAACATAATTACTTGTGTGAACCAGACTTGTAATCTCATAAGAAATTATAGCACATTAGTTTGATGATGTCTATTTTTCCTTAAACCTGTGTTGATTACGGCTAATTTT